ATGCAGAGCGGGGCGAAGACAGAGCCGGTGTCGATGCCGGCGGTTTGTTGTTGTGTGCGCTCGGCCCTTGTGCCCAGAAATTCCCAAGTGGACTGCGGAACTTTCCCTCATCCCTCTGTCTGACAACCAATACCGGGCACACCCTACACAGTCTTCTTCGCTCTCTCCTCGACATTCTTTCACTCTTTATTCACTCGCTCACTCTCTCTATCCCCTCCTTCAACTTCTCAAGGCAGCAGTCTGCGAAAGACTTTGCTGGCAGCCCCTCATTTGAACCGCAACTCGACACTTAGAGAGATACCTAAACATGGCCGACCCATATTACAACAATAACTCTTCACAATACAATGGATACGCTGGTAGGGCACCTTTCATTGGACGGGATGTATTGGGTTTTCTGAAATGTCCTGGGTTTTGAAAATGTACAGGGGCTGGCACCCAGCAAGGTTACGCTCAACCCACCGATCACTACCAACAGTCATACCGTCAAGAATCAAACCCCTTCGATGCTCAGTCGACCTACTCTCACTCTCACCACGGTAATCAGTCAGACTATCAACCAAGCGCCCCAGGTTCCGAGTGGGATTCTCGCAGCGCCAAGTCGTATAACACGTACAACGGGAACAAATCCCAATACGAAATGAGCCAAGTTTCACTCAATGCGCCTCCGGTCCCTTCATTACCCTACCAGCCAAACCAGTACGCCCCTGACTACCCACCGTCACCTCAACCGCAACCTCAGTATGGGAACGTACCAGGCCGGGGTACCTACACTTACCCGGAGCGGCCGCAAGGTAGCCCGAGAGACCCGAGTGTCGCTGGCTTTTCCATGGCTAGGGAGAAGATGATGAAGCGTCGGGTAAGTGGTGGCACTTCTGGGCTTCCGTTGCCCGCCTTCCTTTAATTTATCCGTGGCGCGTGAGGGCTGACCGTCGTGCCTTTCTTCCCATAGTCTGTCCGCAAGGTCGCACTGCAAGAAGGAAATCTCGTCTTAGATGTGGCTGTCCCATCTCATATTGTCGTCAACGGAGCTACAAGCGATGAGATGACCAAGATGAGATACACTGCAGCGACATGCGACCCCGATGATTTCGTCCGGAGCAAGTACTCCCTGCGGCCGTACCTTTATGGCCGAAAGACCGAGCTTTTCATCGTCATGACCATGTACAACGAGGACGAAGAGCTTTTCTGCAAGACCATGAATGCCGTCATCAAGAACATTGCCCACCTCTGCAGCCGAACGAATTCGAAGACTTGGGGCGCCGACGGTTGGAAGAAGGTAAACCGCCACGTCCCTGCGGCGCATAGTAGGATCTCGTACTGATAGCACTCTCTATAGGTGGTTGTCTGTGTTGTTTCCGACGGTCGAAATAAGATCAACCAAAGGACGCTCAAGGTCTTGTCACTGGTGAGGATCGTCCGACTTTGATCATGTCGCTTGATCTGAGTTTGCCCACTTTAACAGATGGGATGCTATCAAGAAGGCATTCCGAAGGATACCGTCGGCGGAAAGGACGTCGCGGCCCACATCTTTGAGTACGCTTCCCTCTCAGTTTAAATATTCTTACCGTAGATTGACAAAGCGATCCGTAGGTTCACCTCCCAGGTTGTCGTCTCACCTGCCGGTGAAGTCTCGTCTGGTGCTTGTCCGATCCAAATCCTCTTCTGCCTCAAGGAGCAAAACAAGAAGAAGCTCAACAGTCACCGTTGGTTCTTCAACGCATTCGGTCCTCTTCTAAATCCGAACGGTGAGTTGATAGCTTTCTGAAGCAATGAAATTTCTTAACGTGACCTTCGACTCCAGTCTGTATCCTTCTCGATGTCGGTACCAAGCCCACAGGAACCTCGATCTACGAGCTTTGGAAATGTAAGGATGATTCAGGGAACAAAGGGCGTAGATATCGACTTACAATAAACCATCTTAGGCTTTGACAAGCACCCGGGAGTTGGCGGCGCTTGTGGAGAGTAAGTACATATCTCGCGAGATCCTGCTTGCTTTGCTGACTGATTGTCGTCTTGGCGCAGAATCTGTGTTGATACTGGGAAAGGATGCTCTCTTCTTCTGACCAGTCCATTGGCCGCATCGCAGAACTTCGAAGTGAGAGATGAGATATTCGTCTCTGCTGAATGGTAGACTGATGCAAACGACCTTTTCTCTCTATAGTACAAGATGTCTAATATCCTCGACAAGCCGTTGGAGGCGAGCTGATTCTCTTCCTCGCCACTCCTGGCCTTCCTAACTTTGCACCTTCCAATGCTAGAGCGTTATGGGCTATATCTCCGTCTTGCCTGGTGCCTTCTCGGCGTATCGATACAAAGCCCTTCAGAATTTGCCCAACGGGACTGGACCTCTTGCTTCCTATTTCAAGGGCGAGACGATGCACGGAGGCGGAACGACTGAGGCCGGCTTGTTCGGTTCGTTCAACTTTCTTTCCGATCCGCCGAGTTGAGGAGTTGACATGAACCATGATCTCTTAGAGAAAAACATGTACCTCGCCGAGGATCGTATTCTCTGCTTCGAAATCGTGACAAAGAAGCGAGAAGCCTGGACGTGCGTATATCATCTTAATTCTTGCTGGACGTTGTAGCTGACGGCGATAAACTAGTCTTCGATATGTCAAATCCGCCAAGGCTGCCACCGACGTCCCTACAACCGTCCCCGAATTCATTTCCCAGCGACGACGATGGCTCAACGGTTCATTCTTTGCTGCTCTTCACGCCACGGTATTTTGGTTCAGAATCTGGACGTCTGGTCAAGGCTTCTTCCGCAAACTCATTCTTCAGGTAAAGCACCACGATCGTCTAATACCCAATTAGCTGGTCACTGACCCGAAACCTCTCCCGATTAGTTCGAATTCATCTACAACGCTATCCAAGTACGGGAATCCGTAGTAACACTAGCTATGGCCTTACTGATCTTTGAGCACCTTCATAGATGTTGTTCGCCTGGACGTCGCTTGCGAATTTCTACTTGGCATTCTTCTTCGTAAGTATTCGAGCAAATATCGTCTAATTGACGAAATTGACCTCAATTTGGGTGTAGCTGGTCCAATCCGCTACTCAAGATAAAAATGATGCGTTCAACTTCCTCAGCAAAGGCGCAGGAAAGATTGTTTTCGAGATGATCCTAAAGGTGCAACACAATGCCATCGAAACCTACGCGTAATATTCTAATCACGTCTCTTCATTCCAGCTTTATATCGGCTTGATCTTCGTCGTCTTGATTTGCTCTCTCGGAAATCGACCACAGGTAGGCCTCACTTTAATCCAGCAGTGCCACAGAAGACTGACCACACTGTTTCGTGGTGATAGGGCTCAAAGTGGACATACATAACTGCCATAGTGCTCTTCGGCCTCTGTAATGTCGTGTAGGTACCATTTCGTTGGCCCTCTCGTATTCTCGCTAACAGCTATCCTCTACCAGCACCCTTTGGTGCGCTGGTTGGACCGTCTACTTGGCCGTTCCGCATACGCTTGATGGGTGGACTAACTGGCAAAAGTACGTCACACTGGTCCTCCACTTCGGACTTCGTATCTGATGTCGCCTTCGTGCTCTAGGCTGTTGACCAATCAAACTTTCCGAGACATTGTTAGTACTCAGTCCGGGCAAAGAATGGACATTTGCTGAAGTCTTCCTCCTGTAGGCAATCTCACTGCTAGCCACTTACGGGTTGTACTTCTTCGCGTCCTTCCTCCACTTCGAACCTTGGCACATGTTTACTTCGTTCCTTCGTGAGTCTGCATGATCCTCATTCCTAGTCGTGCATTTACTGAACCCGGATTCTGTTGTCTTTAGAGGTATGGAAGACACCTTCCCAAGTCTTTTTGTAGATTCAAACTGACCTTTCGCTTCTCTAGTATCTGTTCCTGCTTCCGAGCTGTAAGTGAGCCATAAAACTCGATATGATCCTCGTTGTTGATAATTGCTTTTGACAGACGTTAACATTCTCAGTGAGCTTGATGGTCTCGAATTTCGTGATTTCCCATACTAACAATATCTATAAGTGCTCTACGCCATGTGCAACTTGGTGCGTCGCTCATTTTCTTCATTTGAAGTTGTTGCTTATACGATCCTCCCAATGTAGCACGATGTCGGCTGGGGTACCAAGGGTGACAACGGCGCTGCCAAGGATTTAGGATCTGCCAAGAAAGTTAAGGGCGATGACGGGAAAGAGATGATGGAAGTCAAGTTACCTACTGCACGCGAGGACGTTGATGCGTTGTGGGCCGCCAGTCGGGACTCTTTGCGCCAAAAGCCTGCCCCCCAGAAAGACCACCGAGATGCTGCAACGAAACAAAGCGATCATGACAGGAATACAAGAACGAACGTGGTGCTGCTGTGGGTAGGAACCAACATGGCGATGATCTTGGGTTTCACATCTTCCAGCTTCGTCGAGGTAACTCTTTCCTGAAACGCCATTAGTTTGTCCTCCATACTCACCTGTGCAATCATTAGTGGGTTGCCGACGTTTCCGGGAACTCCTCGAAAGGCGCATTTAACCCCTATCTTGTCTTCCTCTTCTACTCTCTGTAAGTTTGCCTACGACTAGAGCTTGTAGTCATGGCTGACGGATCTACTATTCTTCCTCTCAGGGCTGGGCTGAGCGCAGTGGTAAGTTTTATTCATCGAAGTCCTTGGCTGCTTGTGCTTAATATTCTTCTGCAGCGTTTCTTTGGCTCGACGTTCTATCTTATTCTTCGCTTGCTCGGCCATTAATTGACCTGGTGTGATAAATGGCTAAACTACATCCTCTCCTGATACCTCTTTTATTTTGCTGTGTACAACGCGCTGCCCAGTGCAGCTGTTACTCTAGTCGCTTCTGTCCAATGATTTTCTTTTGCGAATGGGATTTACTCTTGAGTGCACTTGAGGGATCCTGAACGCTCAGGCTGCCCAGATGGGGCGGTTGATTAGGAGGATGATATGCAACATACGATCATGGGGGAAAGGGGGACAACCGCTAAGCGAGGGAAGCAAAAAAAAAAAAGGAACGAGGCTCTGCTTTGAGGGGGAATCGAACCCCCGGCGGATCGAGATACTCAATGAACTAGTTCTATGGCAACGATCCAGGTTACCACTACCCCATCAAAGCTCGTTGAGCTTTTGACTCCCAAGTAAGTTATAGTAAACTTCTTTTACGGTTGTACCATGCTGATATTCATATTGTTTCTGGAGAGGTGTTAGTCACTTTTCTCGGGCTTCAATGCCTTCTAAGCATCGGAGACCAGACACCAATACATTTCACTCTGCCGATCTAAAGTGGGGTGATTATTTGGTCGCAGGAAATGGGTGGTCTTGCACAGCGAACCGAAAAGTTGTATCCAATACAACCACAGTGACGAGTTGGGATCTCGAGATTCTTTTCGAGCTTACCTCTTCAGCTAATGTGAGAGCGTACCTCTTCTTAGCTGGGCCACTGGCAACATGGTGCAAGGTAGAATCCTAGTAGATAAATCCAGGTAGCGCTGATTTTCAAGAATGTCTTCCCGATGGGTGTTGCTGTCAGCAGGGCTCGCATCCACGCCATCATTCTTTAGGCATTCGAGACTATCACAATGTGACATTGACGTGATACGCTATTGAATACCATAGCCGACGAGCCTACACCGAGTTGCGTCGTAAACTTCGGCCTTTCCTCTTCTTCCCGAGCTTCTCCGTCGTCCTGAAATCATCTTCAAACCCGTTTGGCAGACGTCCTTCTTCCTTCCACTTATCAAGTAGCTCTATCGCAGTCTTGTAGCCAATTTCGGCCAGCTCCTCGTACTTGTTGAACTGAAGCGTGCCATACTGTGCGAGCGGATGTTAGGACGGCTTGACGCGAGCGGCTAAAACAGCTCGACACTTACCCCTTGAACAGGTGGTTGGACGTAGTAACAGCCGGGGGTATTCTTCGCTTCTTCCAGACTCGTAATACTCGAAACACTAAGCGCAATCTATTAGATGAGAGGATATGTGCCAGTGGCCTTTTACGCACTACGCAAGTCGGCTTTGTATCTCGGTGATTGGAGGGATGTAGCGAACGCTTGAGAATGGATTCCAACGGTTGATTGCAATCCATATTCCGGAGACCGTATCGCCGAAATTGCGCGGGGAGTTGTCGTCCAGCTATCAAAGTATTAGTATACGCTGATCCTAGGTGTCGACTTAAACTCACTGAGCCGACATCGACTGCGATGATCGTGTTCGGTCCCATGGATCTCATGGTCGATACCTGCTTCTGCGTTAGTGGAGATGAAAAAGATCTAGAGCAACTTCAAGCGTACAGGAAGATTGTCCACTAATGCGACCAGAAAGCTCAGCGACTTAGGTAATCATTCGAGGAGGCCTGACTTACAATAACCACCGTCAACCAGCATATTGCCATTGTCGCAAATTGGAGGTAGGAGGCCCACGAGTGTCATCGAGGCCCCTAGGTCCTTATAAGCACCTGATCGAGAATTTTAAGAATTGCACTTACGGACATATCTCCAAGCGTATCCTGTGTCGTGGATGTCCATCTGCGACGTTAAGATGTTGGTAGAGTTGCAGAAAAAGGGGAGCCACATGTCTTCGATATGAAGTGCTCCGAATGCCTACGTATCGATGTGAGCCACAGCCGATGTCATTTCATGTCTTCTCTCCCCTTACTTTAAATATTCCCCGATTGAACTCATGGCCCTATCATAGAGAGAATGATCAATGTAGATCCTTTCAGGTGACACCGCATTCTTACAGTGGTGTAGGCAACAACGGGCCAAGTAACGTCCGACAGTAATCGCCAGATGTTGCTCATTCGTGAGCCAAAAGCCTTGACGCGAGCGGAGCATTGGATGAGATTCGCCTCCCGAGCGTAGAGACCTCCGACCAAAGATCCTATACTCGTGCCGCCGATGTGATCAATTGGTATATTTCGCTCTTCAAGCGCTCGAAGAATGCCCTAGATGCCGATCTTAGTCAGAGGGGATCGTGCTAGTATTTGATACACTTACCAAGTGGGCCACCCCACGAGCTCCACCGCCGCCTAATACGAGGCCGATAGATTTTCCGCATATTCTTCGAGCAAGCCTTGCAAAGTCACTAAGATGGTCTGGTCGTCTCGAATGAGGGGTCGCCGTATAACCACGGTATTTCTTGATTTCGGTCTGCACGATGTTCTTGATGTCCTTGAACGCTTTGACAGCAGCGGGATCTTCAGGGGCAGGTTGAGGCGTTTGTTTAACAATACCCTATGTTGAGCAGAGATGAATGTAGTGAAATGTAGAATTTGTCCATATTACGTACAGGTAACTCGACGTGATGGTATGCATGGACCCAAGGGCGGATCTAAGGGGCAGAAATGTCAGTAAACAGCCATGAACAGACTGAGGAACAAGCAAACCTTGAGCCACTCGCGGGTAGATCCCTGTGGTACACTCCTATCAGGATGAAGGAGAACAAGCTCCTTTCTTGCGGTTGTCTTGGTGGTCAGGAGCAACCTCTCATACTCTCCGATGTTAGGATCGTCCCCCATGCCAACAATCATAATGTAATCGGCCTTGAAAAGCAGCAGCAAGTTAAAAAAAATGGTGGCATACAGAAGAGCGGGAGTAGAACGCACCTGCCGGATACAAGTCTGTGTCCAAGGAGCACTAACTGGCGAGTCGGCCACATATAATACAATCCGATACCTTTGCTCTTGATCGGCCAGCCAGCCAGCCACTTTTAGCTTGCCCATCCTAGTGAACGCATGTCGACCGACATGGTTCATCATAGAGGCTTGATTGAGGTACACTGTGGACGCTCCGATTTCTTCGAGGGCGGAGTGCAGTTTCTTCGCGAAAGCCGAAGCGGGGACGTTCCGTGCCGCGGGCAGAATGGCAACCGTCTTGAGATTGAAGTTATTGTTATTGCCTGCTGTGGGTCTAGCTTTGGGCGTGACTGGAACGGTTGGTTGGGCGAGGTTTCGCACTCTTGAAGCGACCATACGCAGAAGCCTGAATATGATCTTAGCACCATCGTGACTTCGGGTACAGAGGGCGACTTACTGGACGGCTGCTTGAGGATGTCTGTATGACATAAAGTTAGAGAGCAGTTACCACGGTCAGGTATCCACATGTACACTTACCTGACGGAGATGGCGTTGAATAATGTTTGAGGCATCCTCGCAAGCTCCGTATCGCGGATAGCGTGCAGCGTGCTGGTTCGGTTTGAGCGAGTTATGACATCCAGTTCTCCGACAGTGTCTCCTTGACCATACTCTCCGATAACACCACCGTCTTCTTTCTCTGCTAGGGCTCTCAGTCGACCGTTGATGACGATATAAAAGCTGTCGCTCGGGTCACCGGGACGCCATAAGACTTGTCCGGCGTTAACCTGCATCCAATCAAGCGAGGAGTCGATGTGAAGGACTATCGGGTGGGGACCGTTCGGTTAGGTCTTAGTCCTCCGAACGGGTTTATTGGCTCACCAAGAGGAGAAAGAAGTGATATCAACCGCTTTGACAGAGTGAGCAACACGATAGGTCGGCGCTCAATTAGACGTTCCATGGCATGATGCGGGAGGAATCCGACATAAGTGTCGACTTTCGCCTTGATCTCCACGTATGACGGCGTCCCAGAAAGCGAAGCTAGAGCGACAAGGTTCGAGCGTTGAGCTGAGACGCTTAGCCAACGCTTTCATCCAGCTCACCAAGATACCCAGCAATGCCACCAGGTTTAACAGTAAACAAATGCTTCGACACTTTAGTATGCAAAACCCCCTTAGAGACATGAGACGAAGTTCCGTTTTTGATTTTGGCTGATTGAGAACCGTCTCCCCAGCGAACTCCCTGACTTGAGGCAATTTTAGACTTCAATTGAGTGAAGGACTGGCGTGACGCTGATCGGGGTGGAGCGGCGTTCGACGAGCTCGAAGCGGCGGGAGCTGCGTGCTCGTCCACAGGTAGCGAAACGTCCAAGAACCCGTCGATCACGTAGAACAGACCTCGTGGCACAAAAATCGCGTCAGTCCTACTAGCCCAATATTCCCTAGCTTTTACGCAAACGCTTACCAGCATTCCTCTCTCCGGCACGAACGAGCGTGCTCCCTGCAGCGAAACACAAAATCTCCACCTCGTTGTCTAAACCAGTCGCGTACGGATGCCCGCTCACGATCGATGCCGTGCCAGTCATCGAGGACCCGTCGTCCGCTACGGCATCCAAGAACGACAAGGTCGAGAACGAATTTGGGAGCAGGGCCCCACCACCTCGGCGACTCGACGCGACGGACTGCGAACGGGTGTCAAATGGGACGAGAACCGGTGAGGCGTCTCCCGAAGGAGTGTCCGACAGCGGGGGTTGAAGTAAGCCAATGGACTTGGCGATGCACGCCATGACTTCGTCTCGGAGGTTGATGTCTGCTTGAGCGCCCGGTAGGTCCCTACCAGCGGGAGGAGTGTCTCGCTGAGCGGGCAGCCTTGCCGCCTCGCGAATGGGAGTGGGTAGAGAGGACCTATCTGGTGGGAAACCTGGAGTCTTGGGGGCCGTGCGAGATCGAGGACGGTAGGTGTCAATGGTATTGTCGATTACGGAACTAGTGCTCGAGTGCAAATCGCCCGCCATGATCGCCAAATGCGACAGAGCTTTCCCGCTCATCGATTTCGTGAGCGATGCGGAAGGTGCTCCTCGCAAGCCCAAGCCGCTCATGCTCTCGCCGAATGTCGATCCACGAGACTGTGACCGTCGCTGTCTCCGATACGACGATGGACCCGGAGTAATGGGATCCAACGCGGCCGGTGAATCTCTCCACGATCCAATGTTGCTTCCAAAGTAGTCGTCCTCCGAGTCCAATCCAATCGTGCTGCTCGAATCAAGACCTGCGGTACTCGCGGAAGTCATGGTATCGTCCTCCGTTTCCACTGCTTCGTTGTCGTCAGGATAGAATTTGTTTCGAAGGTTGTGCATCCCGCCGCCCTCGTAGAAGGACGCGGGGAGTGGATGACATGCGAGTTCGTTGATAGCCTTTTCCGTTCGTAACACTTCGGTGGTAAGGCCGAGATATTTGTGCGCAGCGTTGAACGTCACCCGCGAAAAGCGAGTGAGAATGACTAAAACGAAAATAGATATAGTCGGCTAATAAGCTATTGAGTCAGAGCAG